TGTAGAGAAAAAGAAGGGATGGGATCCAAGGGTAGGATCAGAATGAACAAGTGGGAAGGTTACAGAGGGAGAACCAAATGCGAAATGAGGAGGAATTTCGTGACCGTGAGAGCCCTGAAGCAGGAGAACAGCCTCCCGCCTCCTGGAGTCATAGGGGCTCCATCCCTGGAGGGTTTCGAGTAACTGCTGGACAGCCATTTGTCTGAGATGGTGTGGGGATTCTTGCCCTGGGAAGGGGGTTGGACTAGAAGGCCTCCAAAGTCCCTTCTAACTCTAGCAGTCTATCAATGGGCGTGAGTGACGCCCACTGAAACTCAATCGCACCATTTTGGCCACCATGTTGACTTTGTCGACCACACCCTGCATCTGCCACTGTGGACAGATTTCTTTCCTTCTGGTCACTCACCTGTTGTCTTTAGTCCACATTCATTCCTAGTTCCCCTCTTTCTCCTTTTACCATGCGTGCTGCCTACATATCCCATTTCCATGGCATTCAACCAGGTTTTATATTTCTGATGTATGGCTTAATGCCTGTATCCCTCACTACTTCTCTCCACCTTTTCTCCTAAACAACCAGATCCGTCCTGCTTTTAGATTTATTCTCAATCCTTTGCCGTTGGTGCCTATGAATAACCTCCTGCTGATACCTTGGATTCAAAACAAACCGACTTTCTTCTGAGCAAGGGCTCCCAAACCGCCATCAATCTCCTTCATTCTTGGAGGCCCACATTTTTTAGTCATTTTCCTTGCTGTTCCCATGTTGCCTTTGCACCCACCCCTTCCTGTCTGCTGGGTGAATCATTTTTTTCCCCTCGGATCTCATTCATTCAGAATATTGCACAATTTTCTGCAAAACCCATCTCTCGTTCTTCCATTATCCTCATTCATTGGAGTATATCGTTCGACTGACATCAATCTATAGATTCATATTTTCCCATGCACCCACCATCATCTAGATGACAGCAGTTCAGGTTTTCTGGCATATATTTTATGCCACTTCTAACACTTCTTCCCATCTCTGTACAGATTCATCAATGCCGCAAGATCAGCCCACTTTCGTTCAGATCCCTTGCACCTTCCTCTTTCTCTTCATTTCACATCATTTCCGTTTTTCTCTTGTTCATTTCATTTATTAATTCATGTTCTTTACCATGGATTCCACTTCCATTCCAACTTGCAATCTTCCATATGCCAAGATCACCCACAGAAGGGCTCAAGCCCATCCCTCACGGCTTCGGTTGATCGAGGCTTTCAGACTACCCTTTTTATAAGGTAGACAAGATGTAGACCAGGTTACTAGCCTTGATTGTATCTGGGCTACACACAGCATTTTCTGCTCATGTGAAAGGGAATACACAAATAAATCAGTTGGGTAAAACTGATTCATTGATTCAGTCTGGTAGGAACGCAGCCGACTCCTAGAATTACCCAAGCATGTTCTCACTATTTTGTGCAAACTAGGATCTCTACTCTGGAAACTACCTTTGTCTCACCAGAGGTCAGCCCTTCAAGGTAGACCAGGTCGGGAAACAGAGACCACAAGGAATACTAGAACATTTGCTTGTTGATACAGACCAGTGTTTCTCAACCTTGGCCCACCCACACTCAGAAGGTGATCTGCTCTCTCCTCCACACTACCCCCCTCGCCCCCCTGGTTCTTCGTGTGGGCTCTGGTCCGACTCG